GGCTACTTGGAAGGCTGAGGCGGAAGGATCGCCGGAGCCCAGCAGGTCGAGGCTGCAGTGGCTGGGAGCGGCCACTGCACTGCAGTCTGGGCAACAGAGTGAGACTCCAACTCAAAAAAAAACCCAAAAAACAAAAAACCAATAATAAATAAATAAAATAAGTATTATCACTATCTCCTTTTCACAGATTAGGACTCGGGGCACAGAGAGATTAGGTAGTTTGCCAAAGGTCACATAGCATTCAGTGATGGTGCTGGGACTTGAAATAACGAAGGCTGGTTCTGGAGTTTCAGAGAAAGGAAAAAGCTTAGTCCTCCATTATCTGATGAGGGAAGGAGGAACGTAGGAGCATTACCTTCTGGGGGTTAAACACAGGGGCATTGTCATTGGCATCGAGGATTTCCACTACTGCCACAGCTGTGGTGGTGGAGCCATCCCCATCCATGTCTGTAGCCTGGATGGTCAGTGTGTACTCGGGGACTTTCTGGAGAGAAAGAAAAGTCCACTGTGAGTTCAGTTTGGGGTCCCTCATCGGGGCTTCATTAGCCCAGCTTTGGGGGTGTGTGGGCCTTGAGGCATGTCACAGGGAGGGGAGTGTTCTTCCTCTCATGATGTTCTTTCAACTCCTTGACACTTCCCCCACCCCCACCCACTGCCAGACAGAACAGAAGCAGAGGGTGGTGCTGGGAAGGGAACGGCAGATCCATATAGTTCTCTGGGCCTGTCCGGGTGAAACCTGGGCACTGCCCCTTGACTCTTGGGTGCTTCAGAATGAGAGTTGTGAGCAAGGATTTGGGTGAAGGTACTAATGTGGAAACAGGTGGCAACTCTAATATCCATGGAGTTAATTCTACTTTGTGGCACACAAGGGACAAATGTGGGCAATGTGCATTCTGAGTGAGCCATTCCAAGAGGAAATGAGAAAACCTACAGAAAACACAAAATGTCTGCATTTTACAGCTGCCTCCCCAGCCTCGGAGGAGATGTAACAAGATTGCTTGGCAGTGGGCCATCAGCTCAAGGGAGCTGCGGGACATTGGCATGTGAATATAGCAGCAGCCAGCCCAGCTGACCTGGGTCCCCACCATTCTGCCTTGGGTTTTGGGGGCAGGGACAGAAACTTCTGCTCTGAGAATCAGGCCCCAGCCTGGGCAGGCAGCACTTGCCCCAAGAGCCCCTCACCTCCCGGTCCAGGCCACTGGAGAGGACACTGATGGTGCCTGTGCTCCGGTGGACAGTGAACATGAGGTCATGTGGGTCTTTTGGCTCTTGGCTATGGATGGAGTAAGCAACCACCCCATTGTAGGTGTTGATGGCATCATCTTCGTCTGTGGCTGTCACCTGCATGACAGAAGTACCTGGAGAGGAGAAAAGACAGGTGAGTACCTTCCCTCCCAGCTCCAGAGCCAGTCCTGTCCCCTTCTGGAACTCTGAGAGGCTCTGCTCTACTCATCAGCTTGGACACATCTTCCAATCTGTGGTAGAGATTGGTGCCTGTTTTCCATCCTCTCCTTCTTTCTTTCTTTCTTTTTTTTTTTTTTGAGTTGTAGTCTCTCTCTGTCACCCAGGCTGGAGTGCAGTGGCATGCTCCTGGTACTGCAGCCTCGACCTGCCAGGCTCAAGCGATCTTTCTACTTCAGCCTTCCAAGTAGCTGAAACTACAGGTATGCACCATCACGCCCAGCTAATTTTTTGACTTATTGTAGAGACGAGGACTCACCATGTTGCCCAGGCTGGAATCAAACCCACGCGCGCTCATGCAATCCTCTCGCTTTGGCCTCCCAAAATGCTGGGATTATAGGCTTAAGCCACTGCATTCGGCCCTCTTCTTTTTTAAAAGACAATACTAATTCTAGGCTGGGCACAGGCTAACCTGGAACAAAGACTATCTCCCACCCCTTCCTGCAGCAAGCTGTGGCCATAAGAGTAAATTCTGATGAAAGGGATAAGCAACTTTGGGAAAATGGTTTCATAAATATGGAGCTTATTCTACCCACTCTTTGCCTTCTTCCAGATGTAGTGGCTAGGGCTACAGCAACAATGATGAGTTAACTTTGGAAACCGAAGTCAAAACAGCAGAACACAAGAAAGAAGGAACCTAGGCTTCTAACACTTTGAAGTGCTAACCCAGCCTGGACTGACTACCTCTAAGGCTCCCTGCATAGAAGGAGGAAAAAGGTTTCACCTTGTTCAAGCACTGGTCTTATTTTGGCATTTTATTTGGGGGATTTCTGTTATTGACAGTCTAACCAACTCATACTCTCTGTAATTCTCCACAACCCAGAGAGAGGAAGAGGAGAATCCTCCCTACCAGTCTGCTGTCTTTGACAGCAGGCCATTAATATGCACCTGCTTCCCTAATCTTCTCATCTTCTCTGCCCCTGCCCATCTCCTCCAGCCCTGGCAATGGATTTTCACTCTTCATAAGCCATGTCCAACACTCCCAGCCTTTGCTGCTTTCCTTTTAGCTGCCATAACTAAGAGCCTCATGTCATGTGCTTCATATCACATAACAGAATGTACTTGCTATTTCTAATCGTCACTATTTTGCAAGGTTGATTATTCCTGCTTTTAGATGTCAGGATTGAGACTCAGAGGTCAAGAATATGCCCAGGACCATGGCTAGTAAAAAGGCAAACCCAAAATTCAAATCTAGGTCTTCACAGCTCTGAAGCTAGTAGTTCCCAAATGCATCATCTGAAGCTTCAGAGAAATTTTCAGCCGATCATCTGAAGCTTCAGAGAAATTTTCAGATATACAGATTCTTGTCAGCCTGGGCAATACACTGAAATCCTGTCTCTATAAAATTTCTTTCTAAAAATTAGCTAATTAGACGGGGTGGCATGCCTGTAGTCCCAGTTACTCAGCAGGCTGAGGTGGAAGGATCACCCAAGCCCAAGAGTTTGAGGGTTGTGGTGAGGCATAATCATGTCACTGTATTCCAGCCTAGGCGAGAATAAGACCCTGACTCAAAAAACAAAAATCTTGGGATGAAGTGGGAGAATCTGGATTTTATTTTATTTTAATTAATTAATTATTTTAGTTGGAGTCTCACTCTGTTGCCCAGGCTGGAGTGCAGTGGCACTCATGACCACCACAGCCTTGACCTGCTGGGCTCAGGCGATCCTTTCGCCTCAATCTCCCAAGTAGCTGGAACTACAGGAGTATGCCACCACACCTGGCTAGTTTTATTGCAGAGATGAGGTCTTGCCAAGTTGCCCAGGCTGGTCTCAGGCATTTCTCTCATCTTCGCCTCCCAATGTGCTGGGATTACAGGCCTGAGCCACCATACCTGGCCTGAGAATCTGGATTTTAAAGAAAAGATCCCAGGTAATCTGATGCACAGCCAAGGTAATCAGGTGTGGTAGGATCTTCCAGCACTTAAGTGTCTGGGCCCAGCAGCCACCATCACAGCAGTTCCCTTCCCGGTCCTCTTACCTGGTAGCACCCCCTCCAAGACACTCCCTCTGAAGATATCCTGGGTGAACTTGGGCTTGTGGTCGTTCTGGTCAGTCACGATGATGGAGATGTTCATGGGCTCCTCCACTGAGGCGCCATTCTCTGACACAGCATGGCCAAAGAGCTGCGGGTACACAGGTCAGGGGTCAGCCTGGTGCTGCCCTCCCCACCAGGTCCCAGTGCTCTACTTCTGAGGGGACGTTTACAGCAGATGCTAATGGCTACTTGCCTCATACTTGGCAATCTTCTCCCGGTCCAGTGGCTTATTCAACAACAACCAGCCTGTCCCCTTCTCTATAGTGAAGACACCCTCAGGGGGGCTGTCAGCCCCAGGTCCCGTGATGCTGTAGAAAATCTTGGTGCCTCTGTCCTTATTAGATTTGAGCTGGAAGCAAAAGAAAATGGCACGTGACAAATATACCACGACTGCAACAAAGACTCCTCTGTGGAGAGGTAGGGTGGGGCACTACTGTGTTAGAATTTGCTCCCACAAGAGAGGCTCTCCTCTATAGGCCCCAGCACCCAGCAGCAAGAAACCTCACAGGCTGGCATTTGGATGGAGTCCCTGCAGCTTTCAGTGACTCCCAGGGAGGAGGCACTGTCATACCTGATTCAGCCTCTGGGGGAAGGGACCCTTGCCATTCTCAGGGACAGATATTGGCGGGACCACCCATTCTCTCTTGCGTCTTCGTAAGATGCGTTTGGGTGCAAAGATTCTCAGTGGCTTCCTTTCCTGCAAGGAGAGAAACCCCCTTAACCCAGATGTGCATAGAGCCGAAACATCCACCATCCTCACACCTATAGGATTTAAGGGCAACAGAGAGAGACTTAGATGGGCCTATTGCAAAAGGAAACGTGGAAATAACCTAAGTGTTTCCGAATGGAGGAGGCCAGATGAAACACACTATACCATATCCATCAAGTGGAATATTATGCAGCTCTAAAAATGAAAATGAGGATGCTCTGTGTGCTGATAGGGAAAAGACTTTTGCTATATACTGTTAAATAAAAAGATCAAGGTATAGAATAGCTTAATATAGTTTAGCATTCTATTTAACAAGCACTTACATAGTGTTTAATATGTGCCAGGCACTGTTCCATCTTTTGTGTGAAAGAGTAGGAAATAAGACCGTATATTCATATTTCCCTAAACACAGACGAGGTCGGAGAGGATAAAGAAGAAATGAAAACCGGTGAAGCCGGGCTCAGTGGCTCAGCCTGTAATCCTGCGCCTTTGGGAGGCTGAGGTGAGTGGATTGCCTGAGCCCGTGGGTCCGAAACCCGCCTGGGCAACTTGGCAAGACCTCATCTCTACAATAAATCAAATATTAGCTGGGCGTGGTAGCGCGCGCCTGTAGTCCCAGCTACTTGGAAGGCTGAGGCAGAAGGATCGCCGGGGCCCAGCATGTCAAGGCTGTGGTGGCCCGGGAGCGGCCACTGCACTCCAGTCTGGGCAACAGAGTGAGACTC